ATACAACTTAGTCCTTCGGGCGTGGAAGTTTTGTAGTGTTATTAGGTTCTTTATTTAATTTTTGATCAATAATGTTTTATGAATTTTGAAAATGTATTTTTTTTTTCTTCAAAAGCTTTAAAAAGTAATTTATTTCTTTTATAGTAATGAACTGTAATTTTTCGCTTGACTAGAAAATGAAGTAGGTGTAAAAACTAAGGTATATATTTGCTGATAGTTATAAGGAAAAGTCAAAATTTACCAATTTTTTATTGTCAGTGTAATCATTGATAAAATCTATAAATTTGTTGTAAATTTGTTGTATGTACTTCGCTGATGGGATGGGACAGGCATAATTTCTATGGGATGGGAATGGGACAGAAAAATGTGTCCCATGGACAAGCCTGAATATCAGAGCTTGCTTGAAAGTCGAATCGTTTGCATAAAATACGCAGTATTTTGGTATACATCCAAATCATCATGCAGACAACTCGGCCTTTCTATACAGAAATATGCTAATACATAGAGCTCCTTTTCGTAGAAAACAACTCGTGCTATTGAGTCACTGCTTGTTGGAAGTGTTTCATATTAAACTTATATAGCAATATTTACATATATCTATGTAAGCTTGCTTTCATATTAAACTTATATAGCAATATTTACATATATCTATGGATATAACCTTTAAAATACTATCGCAATCTCAGCAAAAATTACAACCGAATTCTAAAAGAATTGTACGAATGTTATATGAAAGCGTGTTGCAAAGCGCAAATTGGGTTGAGAGCATCGAAGGAATTCCTAAAAATAAAAGAATGGCTTCTAGAAAACTCCTTACATCTTACTATAAATCTGAACTCAGAATGAAAATAGTGGATCTTATAGGTTGATTCTCCAATCTCGGCCTCCTCTTGAACATTCCGAATGCTTGAGACTTTGATATACAGAATATGTTATGCGAAAAATAATATTCCAATGCATAGATTTATTTACTCGAAAATAGGCCACATAGGTTCAACTCAAAATGTACATTCTCCCCCTATTTCAATGCGCAGATTTTTGATACCAATGCATAGATTTATTTACTCGAAAATAGGCCACATAGGTTCAACTCAAAATGTACATTTTCCCCCACTGTCAATAGAAATGTAGTGATTGTTCAGTTTCGCTATATAAATGTTTACTGACGTTTTGCTGATGTCAACAACAAACAATAAAAATTTGAAACACCATCTAAATTCTAAGATGACCATTGAAGTTTCGAAAGGATTGTTCTTGTTTATAGTTAAAGCAGTACGTGGAGCGTGGAACGAAAAAACTCCACCCACATTTCAGCTTAGTAGGAAATGAAATAATTGAAAGTAATGGCTACCTACACTGCGTGAGTCATAACAACAGATATATAGTTATTATTTCAATACCTTATAAAGATTTATAAAAATATTTATTTTTAAACTCGTACTTTTTGTCAGGCGTATACTAGAAATTAGTGAGATGAATTTTAAGGCATTCCACCAGGCAAGCTTGTTTCATATCTAGTGTTAGTCAAAATATAAGTATTCCAAAATTGATTTAGATATATTTGGGTGAAGGATTTGATAGGAGAAGCTGATATAGATCGCAGCCGATATATATCTATATTTTCATTATTGGGGGGTTGTGTTTCGAAATTTAGAGGGTGGTAAATATTTTGCCAATAGTGATGAAACTATTTGCAACTTATAAAAATGTGTTATGTATATGACAGACCATCTACTCTACACTGATAAATATGCCATTTTCTGAATATTCAAAGACAATTTTACCGAAGTTAGGTATTGAAGTCTGGCATCACATCTGGGGAATGTAGGGAAATCACTAGGGTTGCCTATTTGGGAAGCTAAAGAACATAAACGAAAGCTGTCAATGATAAAAGCTAATCAAATAAATCATGTCTTATTCACTTCTAATACGAGAAAGAACAATCTACTTGCGAGCATTGATATGAGGAATACAGTCATGTTTCGCTGACGTATAATACTCACATATACGTACTGACTTACGTAATATTGATGAAATCCAAATTTTAAAATGCAAGTAGTGTGGGTACATGTACTCGAAATGCTGATTGCATTCGCAAATTATCAAAAACACCAGTAAAGTCTGTGAAATAAAATCTCTGTAATAAATAATATGTTGAACTATCGAAAAAAAAAATTTAAAAAAAATAAAATAAAATTTTCAAAATCAAAAATAAACCGAAAATAAAATAAAAGAGTAATGAAAAATAAAAACAACTGTAAAAATACAAATCAAAAGACTAGACCGAAAAACACGACCTTTTTTTATCAGCTGTTTTATATTGTAATTTTTTTTTAAACCGATGCGCAGCCTGTTGCATTTTATTTCTCGCTAAACCATATCGTTTTTCAATTATTTTGACATACGTCGGTCAGTAAACATACGTTTTTTGAATTTAATTATGTCAACTCAGTTGTCAATTTTCTACTAAAGTCAGTACATCATATTATTCATGTAATTCTATCTTTTAATCCATCCGGTTATGGCGTTTTTCAATTATTTTGACATATGTCGATCAGTAAACATACGCCAAACCATAAACTTAATGACTAACACACGGTTGCCGATATGGTTTTCGAAAATTACCAAACGCTATCCCCTGATACCGGAAACAATATTACATAACAACTTTCTACGCACCACCATTGACCAACATTTGCTCAACATTTGCATCATTGACCAACATTTGCTCAACATGTGCAACATCATTTGGGTATCGAATACGACATATACTACTACTATCGTATTACTTAAGTTTCAAAACACTATCTACAAAGAAGGCTCAAAATATCTTGATTATGACAGTAACAATAAAATATTAGCGTGGCATCAAAGTTTGAAATTAGACATTAAACGCTTCCACTTCACTATTATCTATAGTCTATACCAGGGGTGTGCAAACTGCGCCCCGCAGGAAAAAATTGTGGAGAAGTACCAAATTTGAATTGTGGGCTCGCGAAACGAGTTTTTAGTTTAGTTAATCTGGTACGTGTGAGAAATTCCAATCTCTTTGCGTCGCAAAGCCTATTCCAGTACCTGAGTGCCATTGTTATATTGGTAAAAGAAATTTAGCAGTAACGACCTTTCCTCTTCTGTATTGACAAGCAAGGGAAATGATAGATAATGGTTTATCACCTGTCAATGGGTTCGAGAGTATTCTTTTTAAAGCATCGAGATTTAATTGTAAATGGCTATTTTCGTCATATGCAATGGATATAAGCCCATGGTCTGAATTACCTGTAGAATATATAGGGTGATATTTAAATATAGATGCAATGAAAGGGGTTTGAATAGCCAGAATCACTTTAACATAGTTAAGATAATTTTCTACAAAATCGAATGAAGTTATAAACATATAAGAGGTTATAAAAACATATACATTAATGACGTAGGACAATAATTTTAATTGGGCAGACAAGGAGTATGCAACCTTTATCACATGGGGGCCAGATACAACTGACTGGGTGAAGCCGCGGGACGTACTTATTTTTAAGGTAGTCTTTCTAGTAATCGCAGGCAAAAAAATTGTTTATTTTCTTATCGATTTCCCGGAATCGTTACGGGTCATTGCAGAAATGATGAGTTAAAACGAATAAATTTTTAAATAAATTCGCTATTTAAATTTATTGTCACGTCTACTTTAAACGAATTCAATGAGAAACCGCTTTTTATAACATTGTGTATTTCAAACATGATTTTGCTTGCTAATTTTACCAATATAACGATGGCACTCAGGTACTGGAATAGGCTTTGCGACGCAAAGAGATCGGAATTTCTCACACGTACCAGATTAACTAAACTAAAAACTCGTTTCGCGAGCACACAATTTAAATTTGGTACTTCTCCACAATTTTTTCCTGCGGGGCGCAGTTTGCACACCCCTGGTATAGATAATAGTGAAGTGGAAGCGTTTAATGTCTAATTTCAAACTTTGATGCCACGCTTATAATTTATTGTTACTGTCATAATCAAGATATTTTGAGCCCTTTTGTAGATAGTGTTTTGAAACTTAAGTAATACGATGTTGTGAAATGTCTAATTTGTTCACTTTAATTTTAACAGCCAAAATACATTATTAGTTAACTTCTTTGCATAACTCACTTTTTTCTCTTCTGTCAGAAGAGACCTTAGCTCTGTCAGGATCTTCTGGAGTATAAAACTTACTGGAAATTTGTTTGCCACCACATGCCATTTCCTTATTGGAACATCGTAATTAGATCTAAACAAAATAGTATATTATATTTTCAAATTATTATTTAATAAGTAGTCTTTTACCGGCTTTTACTTTTTTTTTGTATACAATAATTATATAAACCTACATTTTAATTTTCTGCTTTCATCTTTAAAGTAAAGAAAATACGCTACCAGCACATGTTAAATAGTACACTACGACTACAATGAAGAATTTAAAGATGCCACTTTTCAACAATGTAATAAATCAATATGCGATCAGCCTGGGCATGCACAAAGGGTAAAAAGAAAATTAAAATTCCACATGGGCCAAAATAACGAGGTTATCTACAATTGAATAAATACATTGTTCTTAGAGGGTTTATTTGTTTATTTTTACAACTTCATTAATTATTAATTTTTAGCAATTCCTGCATAAATTCTAAAAGGTACAAATCTACCTTCTACTAGACAAAATATCAAGTTTCATTCTACCATTGTTTGTAGACTTTCCGTTATTAAACTTTATTTTTGAAATAAAATCATATTTTTTTTTTCGAAACAAATCTTTCTACAGCTGCTAATATTTAAGTACCTTCTATTCGGAAATTTTATTTTTTTCATTTTTTTCTGGTTTGACAATTGATGTATAGATAAATTTTACATGAGTTTAAAAGTTTTAACAATTTCAACTACCTAACTATCTACATAATTGATGTTCATATTTTATTTCCAAACATATATACGAGTGGTCATGGTCATTTTTATTTATTTTTTCTGATTACGCAATAGTCATTGCAATCTCACTTGTTTAGGTTTCCGGTTTTTAGATATAATTTCATATATTCTAGTATTGGTTAGAATTTTGCTTGCAGTGACAGGATAATCAGAAGTTTGATCAAATTTTAGGACTTTGCAAACTCGAGGTATGTTATTTTAAACAAAAGTCAACACAATCACCTTACTCGATTTCACTAATTGAATTTCTAAGCTGTAAAAGCGGATGTATATAGAATACATTTGGATAACTACAGCTATCAAAAGATTTAAAAAAGCACATATTGTTTTAAATCTGTGTCTTATAAATGTTATGAAGTTTATTATGCAAGTTCAACGGCACTTAACTAAAGAATGCTCAGCCTTAGATGATGTTACATTGCTAATAATCTCCCTTTTTGGTCATAACCGACTCGACCCATATAGCTTTGGAATTTACAAAATGTAAGCTCACTATTTCTTTTAGTTAATCACACTCACTTTATTTCAAGCAGAAATGGAACCCGTAGCTATTGCCCGAATAACTGATGAGGGGAAATTTATTATTGATAATGATAAACTGGTTGAAATATTTGGGCCACTCAAAGATAAAGATCTGTCGATTATTTCTGTAGCTGGTTCATACAGAACAGGAAAATCGTTCATGCTGAACTTTTTTATTCGATATCTTCATGAACGCGGGGTGAGTGTAAACAAATTCTATAGATCGGGCTTTAAGAAGAATTTGATATAACCAACATGGTGACTGGTAAATTACAAAAGTTTTCACTTTAAATAAAATTTTAATATTTAAATTTTTAAGTGGAAATATAGCAATTGGCTCGGATCTGACGATAAAAAATTACAAGATGGTTTTGATTGGAAACGAGGTTCAGATCCTCATACTAAGGGAATCAATGTTTGGCCAGAAGTATTCGAAGTTCCTTTAGAAAATGGAAAAAAGGTAAATTATCATTTAAATAATAAATTGGTTTTTGCTTGTAGATTCATCTTTAATTATCATACAAATTTAAATGAGAGATTAATGAAAATATAACGTTAACTTATATGGGAATCGACAGGATGTATTTAATTGTTCTACTGTCATGCACATCGAGCCACTTCGAGTGGAATATCTACAATCTAAAAAATTCAAATTCACCTCGAATTTCTACGCCTGAGTATTTCAAAGATTAATTAATCTACTTTACAAGGTCGGATAACCTAAAAACCCGGCGAATTCTAATCCTGTCTCTATCCTGTCTCTTTTTGAAAGACACAGTTTTAATATCTGCTTCAGCTTTTCCTTTTTCCAATTTTCCAAGCCTACACGCATAACAAAAAATTAAACTGCATTTGTGAATGACCAAGTTGAGAAATGTTATTTTGTGGAGCAAATTCGTTTCATTATATCATTTGATCATTTATGAACAGATTTCAGTGATGATTGTGGACACTCAAGGTTTGTTCGACAATGATAACACACCAGATATCAATGCTAAGATCATGTCAATCAGCACTTTACTTTGCTCGCATCAGATTCTGAACATTCAAAACCGACTCCAGGAAATAGACCTGGAACATTTGCAGGTAAATGAAAGTAAATTGTACTTTAGTTAAACAGAAGTAAATTAGAATATGGTTATTCCGTGTGGCTTCCGATATTTTGAATTTTATGAAAAGGTTGTTCAGAAGATTGCGCATTTTCTGGTTGTCGAGTATTCACTGCGGTGGTTCACTACGAACTGCACTGCCGGTTGGCATATATATAGTATGGTTAATGCCTAGTCCAACTCTAAAAGGTATTATTAGTCTTTTTCAGTTAATGTTCTATAGTAGAGCCATATATTTCACGAAAAAGGGACTCCAGCTTCGCTGAGAATGCCAGTTCTGTAAATAGCATCGATTTAAAATCGCCAGTCAGATATGTAAAATCGTTGACGTGACTCAGACGCGAAAAGGAACTACAATTCCCTCCCTTATAAGGGCTTAGTATTGATTTATCATGTATTTTCCTTCAGACATTTTCACCATCCCTGTCCTATGGATGTTTTGAAAAATATGATTTCGACTGCACCATACTTACTTGGTGTAGAATTTTGAAACGTGAAAAAACGTAAAATTAATGGTAATTTTGACGCGTAACGGCGCGCATTAGAATGTTTACGTCTTTCTACGCGCATTTCCATCAAAGAAGGTATTTTTTTTTTTGCATTGAGAGTGGACTGTGCAGTAATAATTAGAGGTGTGACGTCATCAAAATTGTCAATTAAAGCGTTGAACTGGATAATTCTGTAAATACAATCGTGAATTTCAGAGTAACCATTCTTGCTATAATAGTGGTTTTGGTGTTGTTCTGTTTGGAAAATAACACAAGAAAACGTTAAAATAAAAATTATTCAATTAGGAATAATTATTAACCTTCTACTGGACACTAAATCTCGCAAGTTCAAGGTTGTTCAATAGAAATTTTGGAATTTTCGTTATAAAAAAATATTATCAGAGGAGTGTGTTTTAAACATATATTGCTGGATAAAACTCTAGCTAACGCTAATAAAAAGCCATGAGTGAAGCTTTAGCCATGAGTTCTGACGTTTCATATTTATTGAGAAAAGATGAAAACTTATCAGACAGCTGACTCTATTTAGTAATCAGTTTACTGTTTCGGAATCGTGGCGTCTTGACCTGTTGCCAATTCATATATAATATATACCAGTATATCATTTTTTGCTTTGCTATGACGAATTATTGTTAAGTCTGTAAATTTTCAGCTTTCTGTAGAATACGCGTGCGCTGCTGTTGGCCTTCAGGGAGAAAGAGATGAAATAGATAAACAAAGAACAACTTTCCAGGTCTGAAAAAAATCCTATATTTTTTATAGTTCATGTAATGTTTCACTAACGTTAATAAAACCAATACATCTATGTCAAGTATTCCACATTGATTTTCATTAGCTTACTTTGAACTCTAATATCTTTCTGCTCAGGTGATATAACATACTATCAAACATACTTTAGAAAATCTTACAGGATATGGCAATATAACCACTGCATAAAACAAGGTGGGAACTCAAAATAAGCCAATGTAGTTTAGTACACTATATACTATTCATTATCATATTATAGTGGTTATTTTTATTTCTTTGATATGGAGTTTCTTAGACTCAGTGATCGTTGAAGTTTGTGATTTTTTTTTGACAGAAATTTACATTTCTGATACGAGACTGGGTTAATGATGATGAATTCCCATATGGGAATGGAGGAGACAAGTACTTGAATAAAATATTAAAAGCGAAATCAAAATCAAAAACCGTAAATGATGTGAAAGAGTCAGTGCATCGCGCTTTTAACGAAGTCAAAGGCTTTCTCATGCCGCAACCAGGGAAAAGGGTTTGCAAAGGAGAAAGGTCAACTCTTACTAATGCAGGTAAAATTTTCCACTTGCTATGCATGTTTTTAATTAACTCAACTTTTATTTAGCACCACTTGATATTTATAATGTCAGGAAAAGCAACCGTATGTATTACATGTCTAGAAAACTGCAAAAAATGCAGATTTTTTTATTCTCTTTGCCATAGAATAGATAACATGAGGGAATTATTAGTAAGTAATGAAACAATAATCTTAAAAGTAAGTAAGAGTAGTAGCCAATAAAGCAGTTGATTATCATTGGAATCAAACATTATTTTTTATCAGTATTACTCCAAGTAATTTCATATAATAATTTTGGCATTTTTGTTAAGATATCAAACCTATTTTCCGTGAGTACACAATGCAACTTACTGAAGCCGTTTTGCATCCAAGAAATCTGATTTTGAAACAAATGTTTGGGAAGCCTATCTCTGCTAGTGCGTTGATGAATCTTCTTGCTGCAGTCAGTAATTCATTTACAGATGGAAAACTTCCAGAAATTGAAACAATGCTCAAAGTATGCATTCCATTGAAATAGGAATGTAAATAATCCAAAATATGAAAAACAACGTTTTAAACTTGACACAGTGACACAAAAAAAAACTAAAATGATGCGGTTCCCACTTTGCCTTGAGCTAACATTTTGGAATATCGCTTGTAAGCAATCATTCAATTGTCGATTTTTCCCGTCATTTATGCAATACAAATATCTAAAATATGATACCTAAAAAGTGACCAAGTATTTTTAAAGTCGTGTATAGTACATCTAGTATATAATCAAAATCAGCAATTAAATGAAACTAATAATATTGCAAATTTGAAATCTTTCAGAACACCGTTCGAGCCAATAATGATGAAGCTGTTCAAAGAGCTGTACGCAGATACAAAGAAGTGATGACAGAGGTAAGAGAAATGTTTGAGATTTCAATTTTCAACCAATCATAAATAAAACTAAGAATACAATTGTTGACTGTTATCTTGTTTTAAGCTTGTTCACGGGGAAATTGCGGTCACTGATGTTCTTCGTAATTTTCACGATAATGCAGTTGTCGAAGCCACAAAATCATTTAAAGAAATATCAACATTGGGAGAAGAGAGTGATAGAAAAAAAGCTCGTCAACATGCAATAAAGGAATGTGAAAATTATTACAAAATTGTAGAGCAGGAGAATGAAACAAGAAAGGTGTCTACTCCGATTCTCATTATTTATTTTCCCCAGAAAAGAGGTCCTATTTCGACCTAGCGAATTGAGCAGGTCATGTACTTTCTTTCAGATTTTTTTTCCCATTTGACATGAATTTATAATTTCAATACAACAGATAGTTAACTGGAACTGAATTATATCCAATAAACTAATTATTATTATATCAGCCGCAATATCGACTCTATGTATTCTGCTGTAGTACTTAGTATGGTTTCGGTGATGGATTTTTATACATTTTCTGAACGTTTGGCGTAATGTATTTGCAAAACGACGAAATATATTTGACAGCTCCTATATATTCTATAAATATTACAAAATTACGTGATAAAATGATTTCCTTGTGGTTAAAGTCTTGGCCTTTGAGCATTTTGGACTGAAAATTGTTTTTGAATTCATTTTACAACATCGCCAGAATTGTAATAAATTGGTTAGATAAGGTCGAAAAGTTACATTGGATTTTTTCAAAATATTAGATACATGCGCTTGAATGACTGCTATTACGGAGTCTTATTTTAACATCATTTCATTTCACAAGGACGGACATAAAGAATTATATCTTTTGTATAAATACCAATCGTACTCTAAGATTTCTAATTATATTTATTTAATTTTATTTATATTTTTTCTGTTATGATATAGTCCAAGGTAATAGAAGAAATCAACAACTTATCATTAGCCATGGAAACCCAATACACACAGAAAATGAGAGATCATGTGAGTAGCGTGTCAATTAACAATCAAAATAAATTTTAACATATGTTCAATGTATTTTTCAATCTACATTTACTGGGTGACAAAAATTATTGGATAATATAATTTAGCACGCAATTTACACGCCATCTGATAAATCATGAGTAATGTCCTGTTCTGCATCAACCTTCAACCCGAGAAAACAGTGCAATAACGCAATGACTTAATTCAGGATCTCTCCACACTCTCAAAAGAAGATCTTGGAAGTATAAACAATACATTAAGTGATTTAATATTGCTGAAGTTTTATAAGCAAGCGAAAGGTTGCCAACAAGTCATGCCGAGTGAGGTCGAGAACAAACGGAAAACGTTAGAACAACATCTATCTGCTCATTACGAAATGTTTGAAAAAGAGAGATTACACGAGGAAAGAATAAAAGAATTGGTCCAGGTATGATTTATCGAGAATATATTAATATTTTCTAAACAAATTATTAATAACTTCAACGAACGAAACAGAAGTCAATGAAAACATGACAATGTTATTTAATTTAGTCAAAACGACATTAAAATTTTTATTCTGTTATACATGGATTAGCCTAATTACTCAACTCAACCGCACTGAAGCACTTTACTATCGGTGTCGGTGAAAATGTGTAACTCATCAGCACAATTTAATATTTGCGCAAACTAGGCAGTTCCCTATTGGAAATTAAGTTAATGGGTTTTAATCAAATCAACTTTCATCGAATTTAATTAAATCGAAGTTACATAACATGTTGAAAAGATTTTAACATGAATGTCTCAATATTTTTCAGCAAATGGATAAACTGGGAATCAATCAAAAAGCGAATGAAGTTTTGTCCAAGTTTCAAAAAGCGTTTTCCCAGGTGAGTGTTATGCTTATTGCTGCAAATAAAAATATAATATTTAACTCACAAGCGCAGGGACATCTCTAAATCCTCAAATAATAGGTTTAACGAAGATAAACGAGAATATCGGTCAAAGACCGAAGACTTCTACATCGAACGTTAGGGGTTCTCCCAAAAAAGAAACTGCGGTTTCAACTCGAAAAATTCTGCAAGCGCGAACTGGATTGTTTCGATTAGTTTTCAGCCAATATTAAAAATGTAGGAAACAATAGCCAACTCCCGACTTCGTCGTCGAAATACTACTCGAGGAAATACTTTTATGAAGAATTCAGCAAATCCGAACTGGATTATTTCGATTAGTTTCCAGCCAATAGCATATTTACCAATCCTATATTTTATGTCAAATACATATTTTCTGTCAAATAATATTTAATTCACAAACGCAGGGACATCTCTAAATCCTCAAATAATAGGTTTAATGAAGATAAATGAGAATATCGATCACAGACCGAAGACTTATAGACCGAAAGTTAGGGGATCTCCCGAAAAAGAAACTGCGGTTTCAATTCGAAAAATTCTGCAAGCGCGAACTGGATTGTTCCGATTAGTTTTCAGCCAATATTAAAAATGTAGAAAACAATAGCCAACTCTCCACGTCGTCGTCGAAATACTACTCGAGGAAATACTTTTATGAAGAATTCTGCAAATCCGAACTGGATTATTTCGATTAGTTTCCAGCCAATAGCTTATTTACCAATCCTATATTTTCTGTCAAATACAACGGCGCTAACCCGGGCTGCGACGGCTGTCCAAACACAGCCTAGCGATATTTTGGTGAGGAATTCTGCAACCACGAACCTGATAGATTCTAGCGGTGTGTATCCTTCGCTCTGACTCACTAGCGTGAAAATTGAGCATCGCACACACACACATTCAGCGCGTCTCAAAAATCTCTCGCTTTGTAAAAATCGTTCTCTCGATTTGCAAAAATCCAGATCTCTTCATCACTAATTAGGTAATAACTCGCTAATTATACGACATAATTCATCCAAAATCAATTGGCTTTTGGTACGAGCTATGGTGAATGAACATGCAAAATTTGAGGCAGATTGAACCTCGCTTTCGTGAGATATCGCGTGCATCTAACAGACAGACCTATTAACATACTTACCGATCTTATGATCGATAAGTAATAACATTTATCATATTTTTTCAAGTATGAAGACGAATACTGCATGGACATTGAAAGTCTTCGAAAGACCGAGTACAAAAAATGCTTGGAACAGTTTGATGCAGAAATAGCGAAATATGATGATTATGCTACAGTGAAAAATACTCGTGAAAAATTGTCTACAAACATGGAACAGTACTTTACGGAAAATGTAAAGCGTGTGAATGAAAACAACAAGGTATTGAAAATTAAGAAATTCATATTTGTTTTTACAGACACATACTTTGCATGTCATGGGTCATACGTTATGTATAACTAACTCACTCAAGTTTTAAAAAAAAATTTTCAACAAACAATACCCCAACGGTTATTATAGCTAAAACCATTACCGAGTAATTCACAATTTTGTTTAAAGAGTTTGCAAATTTCATACTTCACTTGACGATGTTGATAATATCTCCACTGACACTACTATAATGCTTTAAAATACAACGAATGCAATCATATTCTATAAAAATAGGCGCGGCATTTCGTAAAGGGCCAGTGTACGTTGTTACAACGTAATTGTTTTACGTTCTACTCTTGTTTACAATTTTAACATTCTACCGGCCATGCATGGTTGAGTAGGATGTTTACATTTTCGAATCATTACTTGTTCAAGCATAGGGGGCGGGGGCGTATCCAGAAATTTTCAAAGAGGGGGGGGGGCTGAAATTTTTATTTGTCAAATTAGATCGAAACAGCTAGCGGGTCCGATCGAACGCTGGAATACGCGTGTTTTAGCAGTCTTGGGGGTCTAAACAGCATTACATGCTACGGAAAATTGCTATCTATGATACAGAAAAAATAATTTTATTTTTTTAATTACATGTCACCGGGCATACGAGATTTGAAATCCAGTAAATTTTTATTTAAAATACCTTGTTTGGTTTGACGTTTCTAAATTTACGAAATGGTCCGTGCGTTATTTGCAAAATAGGAAATGAATCGATTCGTTATACGTGAAATAAAATAATAAAAAATCACCATAACCCAAAGACAACGACTTCTCAAATGTGTCTGTTTTGGTCTGTTCGCGAACGCTGAGGGTGAATTTTCAGCAATTTCAACCCTTTCTTTGTACTTATATTTTTCATGTTGACAGCCCAAAGTAACTGGTTTATTGGAAGTATAATTGAATTATATTCTATTTAATTTGATTTAGAGAGATTTAGGATTGAAATATGAACAACACGTTGAAAATGCAGTGAATGAATACGATCGGCTGATGAAACAGGTAACTTAAACAAAGATCAAGCCAGTTATGATAGTTAAATTTTGGAAATAGGTAAAGACAGAACTGTAGTCGTAATATTCAACTCAATATCTGCATTATGCTGTAAATTCAAAATCTTACTGAAGCGCTCTTTACCCCCGCTAGCTGTCCCGTTCATTTCAGTAATTGCTAACAATCTATATGTTCCAGATTCGAGGACCTAGATATTGTAAGAAAGATTTAATTGGCCACTAGGTGAACTGTTTTAGACCTCAAAAATGTTGAGTTTGATTGTATCAAAAGAAACTGAATCTTAATATTGGAAAAAATAATAATTTAATAGATGAAATTGTATTGAGATAAAAGTTTCGATGGAGTTTGTTTGTAGTTGTTATTCGGGTTGATCGTTATTCAAATATTCATAAAAAAAACTTTTCCAAGTAAGTGTCAACTCATCTTTTACAATAAATGATTCTTATTTGAATTTTTTGATAAACTATTACATGTGATTTTATTTTAGATTACTTCAGATGGTAAATGGGAGAAAAATATTGATTTCATTCAAAAACATGACGAATACAGAAAAAAAGCTGCGGAAGACTTCAATAGATTAATTGCAAATATGTGAGATTAAATGGATGTAGACAACATATAGTATTTTTAGCAGAATGCAAGAATATTTTGGTCATAAAAATAAAAAATAGAAAAATGTTTTTAAATTAGTCATCCCGATATAGTTGCCGCTGGCAGTAAATGGGCGAGATATTTCAGATGTTTAATTTGTGATGTTATGTTTGTGAACTCTACAAAGCCGAGTGTACTAATTCAATTTCGTATTGTCACTTTACAATTAGTTTTTCATCGTCAACCAATAAGCCCTAAAACGTCACTCATAGCTTTATAAAATCGTATGCTAAAGTTCCATTCAGCGTATTCAACGAGGTGATGCTAAAGGGCACGTCTCCACTCTTAATTTAGATATGCGACCTAATGCCCTACAATTTGTAGAAAACAACCTTTTACTCAAGTGTTATTGTTGCCAATGAAGGGTTAAAGACTAATTATAATCAATCAATATTATATTTTTTATTAGTATTAGTAACATTCGGGCTCTTTAAATACTGTTTCAGAAGTCCAAGTCTTCCACACGAGGATGTGCAAGAGTACAGACAAAAATTGGATAATAAAATGGAAGAGAGATTCAATAGCATTCACAAGCAAAGCAATGACAATAACATACATTTACAAGAAGTGAAGGAGGTAGAACATTTTTAATTTAAAAATTTATTCATTGAGTAAAATTTGAAGAAATTCACTAGTTGTGTATCATAATTTTGTAGCAAACAATCAATATTGAATGGCTCATCATTCATTGAACGATGTCATATATCTTTATTATATTTGTGACGTAAGACGGGTAACTATAACAATGGCATACTCCTGTATCTCTGTCATCAAAAATCCTCATTTAGGATTTCCAAAAAAAAAAAAAATAGTGAATAAAAATGAATCAACATAATTACACAATTCAACCGCATAGGGGCACTTTTACTAACGGTGTCGATTTTAACATGAATGTCCTAATATTTTTCAGCAAATGGATAAACTGGGAATTAATCAAGAAGCGAGTAAAGTTTTGACCAAGTTTCAAGAAGCGTTTTCTCAGGTAAGTGTTATGCTTAGTGCTGCAAATAAAAATATAATGATTAACTCACAAGCGCAGGGACATCTCTAAATCCTCAAATTAATAGGTTTAACGAAGATATATAACACTTATCACACTTTTTTAGTATGGAGACGAATACTGCATGGACATTGAAAGTCTTCGAAAGACCGAGTACGAAAAATGCTTGGAAGAGTATGATACAGAAATAGCGAAATATGATGATTATGCTACAGTGAAAAATACTCGTGAAAAATTGTCTACAAACATGGAACAGTACTTTACAGAAAATGTAAAGCGTGTGAATGAAAACAACAAGGTATTGAAAATTAGGAAATTCATTTTGGTTTTTACAGATACATTTTCAACAAAACAATACCCCAACGGTTATTATAGCTAAAAATCATTACCGAGTAATTCACAATTTTGTTTAAAGAGTTTGCAAATTTCATACTTCTCTTGACGATGTTAATAAAGTCACGGCTGACACCACTATAATGCTTTAAAATACAACGAATGCAATCATATTCAATAAAAATAGGTGCGACATTTCGTAAATGAGCCAGTGTATACGTTATTACAACGTAATTGTTTTACGTTCTGCTCTTGTTTACAATTTTAACACTCGCACTCAACCATGCATGGTTGAGTAAGATGTTCACATTTTCGAAATATCGAAACATTTCTTGGTCAAGGATGGAAGGACCTTTGCAGAGCTTATAGAAAGTACATTGAAGGGAGCATGGCTTGTCATTTCCTATCCGGTTACAACTCAATAAGTGTTTTTCACACTCATGTAACTAATACCAGCTTTTGAAAAAACTTTGACTGGTCATTTTGAAATCGATGCTATTTATATAACTCTGATTTTCTGATGATATAAAATCGCCTTTTACAATGTATGATCGATCAAAACGTCCTTTTAAATCCCAATTTAATAAATTTAATGTCCCGGTCATGCAAGAAACGGTTAATTACATATCACCTGGCATAGGAGGTTTGAAATCCAGTAAATTTAATTAAAATAACTCATCTGGTTTTACGCTTCTTAATTCACGGAATGTTCGGTTCGTTTTTTGCAAAATACGGAATGAAACGATAAGTTATCCGTAAAATAAAAAAAATAAAAACCCATAACGCAAAGACAACGACATCTCATATGTGTCTGTTTTGGTCTGGCAGCGAACGCTGGGTGAATTCTTGCAATTCACTACTGATTCAAAGACGCGCGAGTTCGTGTCCAAGAAAAGCGGCGCAGGTCATGTAATACCGGATATTCGAATATTTTTATATTCGATTTTCTATTCGTTATTCGAGTTGCTTGCTATTCGTTATTCGAGTATTTTTGCCAGTAGTAGTAATGCAGATATTATCGACAATAGGGTGATAAACATAAAGTAAAATTGAGCCAAAATTAATTGTGATAAGCCCGGATGCAATTTCAATCTTCTCGTTGTATTTTTTATATATTTTTTTGTTGACAGATCGAAGTCCGATATAACCGGTTTATTAGAAGTAAAATCGAATAATGACCTATTTAATTTTTTTCAGAGAGATTTAGGATTGAAATATGAACAACACGTTGAAAATGCAGTGGATGAATATGATCAAATGATGAGACAGGTAATTTAAACAAAAATCAAAACCAGTTATGATAGTTTAATTTCGGAAAAAGGCAAAGACAGAACTGTAATCGTATTATTCAACATAATATCTGCATTAAACTGTAAATTTAAAATCTCACTGTCGCGCCCTTTACCCCCGCTAGCTGTCCCGTTCATTTCAGTAATTGCTAACAATGTATTTGTTCCAGATGCGAGGACCTAGATATTGAAAGAAAGATTTAATTGGTCACTAAGTGAACTGTTCTAGGCCCCAAAAGTGTTGAGTTTGGTTCTATTAATAGAATCTGAATTTTGATATTGGCAAAATAATATTTCAATAGATGAAATTGTATTGAATAAAAAAATTTCGAGAGTTTTTGTTTGTAGTTGTTATTCTCTTTGTTCGTTATTCAATTCATTAGATTCTTTAGGTTTTTTTCATTAAACTTTTCCAAGTAAGTGTCAACACATTTTTTTTAATAAATGACTTTTATTTGAATTTTTTGATAAATTATTACATATGATTTTATTTTAGATTACTTTAGATGGTAAATGGGAGAAAAATATTGATTTCATTCAAAAACATGACGGATACAGAAAAAAAGCTGCGGAAGACTTCAATAGATTAATTGCAAATATGTGAGATTAAATGGATGTAGACAACATATAGTATTTTTAACAGAATGCAAGAATATTTTGGTCATAAAAATGAAAAATAGAAAAATGTTTTTAAATTAGTCATCCCGATATAGTTGCCGCTGGCAGTAAATGGGCGAGATATTTCAGATGTTTAATTTGTGATGTTATGTTTGTGAACTCTACAAAGCCGAGTGTACTAATTCAATTTCGTATTGTCACTTTACAATTAGTTTTTCATCGTCAACCAATAAGCCCTAAAACGTCACTCATAGCTTTATAAAATCGTATGCTAAAGTTCCATTCAGCGTATTCAACGAGGTGATGCTGAAGGGCACGTCTCCACTCTTAATTTAGATATGCGACCTAATGCCCTACAATTTGTAGAAAACAACCTTTTACTCAAGTGTTATTGTTGCCAATAAAGGGTTAAAGACTAATTATAATCAATCAATATTATATTTATTATTAGTATTAGTAACATTCGGGCTCTTTAAATACTGTTTCAGAAGTCCAAGTCTTCCACACGAGGATGTGCAAGAGTACAGACAAAAATTGGATAATAAAATGGAAGAGAGATTCAATAGCATTCACAAGCAAAGCAATGACAATAACATACATTTACAAGAAGTGAAGGAGGTAGAACATTTTTAATTTAAAAATTTATTCATTGAGTAAAATTTGAAGAAATTCACTAGTTGTGTATCATAATTTTGTAGCAAACAATCAATATTGAATGGCTCATCATTCATTGAACGATGTCATATATCTTTATTATATTTGTGACGTAAGACGGGTAACTATAACAATGGCATACTCCTGTATCTCTGTCATCAAAAATCCTCATTTAGGATTTCCAAAAAAAAAAAATAGTGAATAAAAATGAATCAACATAATTACACAATTCAACCGCATAGGGGCACTTTTACTAACGGTGTCGATTTTAACATGAATGTCCTAATATTTTTCAGCAAATGGATAAACTGGGAATTAATCAAGAAGCGAGTAAAGTTTTGACCAAGTTTCAAGAAGCGTTTTCTCAGGTAAGTGTTATGCTTAGTGCTGCAAATAAAAATATAATGATTAACTCACAAGCGCAGGGACATCTCTAAATCCTCAAATTAATAGGTTTAACGATGATATATAACACTTATCACACTTTTTTAGTATGGAGACGAATACTGCATGGACATTGAAAGGCTTCGAAAGACCGAGTACGAAAAATGCTTGGAAGAGTATGATACAGAAATAGCGAAATATGATGATTATGCTACAGTGAAAAATACTCGTGAAAAATTGTCTACAAACATGGAACAGTACTTTACAGAAAATGTAAAGCGTGTGAATGAAAACAACAAGGTATTGAAAATTAGGAAATTCATTTTGGTTTTTACAGATACATTTTCAACAAAACAGTACCCCAACGGTTATTATAGCTAAAAATCATTACCGAGTAATTCACAATTTTGTTTAAAGAGTTTGCAAATTTCATACTTCTCCTGACGATGTTAATAAAGTCACGGCTGACACCACTATAATGCTTTAAAATACAACGAATGCAATCATATTCAATAAAAATAGGTGCGACATTTCGTAAATGAGCCAGTGTATACGTTATTACAACGTAATTGTTTTACGTTCTGCTCTTGTTTACAATTTTAACACTCGCACTCAACCATGCATGGTTGAGTAAGATGTTCACATTTTCGAAATATCGAAACATTTCTTGGTCAAGGATGGAAGGACCTTTGCAGAGCTTATAGAAAGTACATTGAAGGGAGCATGGCTTGTCATTTCCTATCCGGTTACAACTCAATAAGTGTTTTTCACACTCATGTAACTAATACCAGCTTTTGAAAAAACTTTGACTGGTCATTTTGAAATCGATGCTATTTATATAACTCTGATTTTCTGATGATATAAAATCGCCTTTTACAATGTATGATCGATCAAAACGTCCTTTTAAATCCCAATTTAATAAATTTAATGTTCCGGTCATGCAAGAAACGGTTAATTACATATCACCTGGCATAGGAGGTTTGAAATCCAGTAAATTTAATTAAAATAACTCATCTGGTTTTACGCTTCTTAATTCACGGAATGTTCGGTTCGTTTTTTGCAAAATACGGAATGAAACGATAAGTTATCCGTAAAATAAAAAAAATAAAAACCCATAACGCAAAGACAACGACTTCTCATATGTGTCTGTTTTGGTCTGGCAGCGAACGCTGGGTGAATTCTTGCAATTCACTACTGATTCAAAGACGCGCGAGTTCGTGTCCAAGAAAAGCGGCGCAGGTCATGTAATACCGGATATTCGAATATTTTTATATTCGATTTGCTATTCGTTATTCGAGTTGCTATTCGTTATTCGAGTATTTTTGCCAGTAGTAGTAATGCAGATATTATCGACAATAGGGTGATAAACATAAAGTAAAATTGAGCCAAAATTAATTGTGATAAGCCCGGATGCAATTTCAATCTTCTCGTTGTATTTTTTATATATTTTTTTGTTGACAGATCGAAGTCCGATATAACCGGTTTATTAGAAGTAAAATCGAATAATGACCTATTTAATTTTTTTCAGAGAGATTTAGGATTGAAATATGAACAACACGTTGGAAATGCAGTGGATGAATATGATCAAATGATGAGACAGGTAATTTAAACAAAAATCAAAACCAGTTATGTTAGTTTAAGACAGAACTGTAATCGTATTATTCAACATAATATCTGCATTAAACTGTAAATTTAAAATCTCACTGTCGCGCCCTTTACCCCCGCTAGCTGTCCCGTTTATTTTAGTAATTGCTAACAATGTATTTTTTCCAGATGCGAGGACCTAGATATTGAAAGAAAGATTTAATTGGTCACTAAGTGAACTGTTCTAGGCCCCAAAAATGTTGAGTTTGGTTCTATTAATAGAATCTGAATTTTGATATTGGCAAAATAATATTTCAATAGATGAAATTGTATTGAATAAAAAAATTTCGAGAGTTTTTGTTTGTAGTTGTTATTCTCTTTGTTCGTTATTCAATTCATTAGATTCTTTAGGTTTTTTTCATTAAACTTTTCCAAGTAAGTGTCAACACATTTTTTTTAATAAATGATTTTTATTTGAATTTTTCGATAAATTATTACATATGATTTTATTTTAGATTACTTCAGATGGTAAATGGGAGAAAAATATTGATTTCATTCAAAAACATAACGAATACAAAGAAAAAGCTGCGGAAGACTTCAATAGATTAATTGCGAATATGTAAGATTGAATGAATGTAGACAACATATAGTATTTTTAGCAGAATGTAAGAATCTTTTGGTCATAAAAATGAAAAATAGAAAAATGTTTTTAAATTAGTCATCCTGATATAGTTGCCGCTGGCAGTAAATGGGCGAGATATTTCAGATGTTTAATTTGTGATGTTATGTTTTGAACTCTACAAAGCCGAGTGTACTAATTCAATTTTGTATTGTCACTTTACAATTAGTTTTTCATCGTCAACCAATAAGCCCTAAAACGTCACTCATAGCTTTATAAAATCGTATGCTAAAGTTCCATTCAGCGTATTCAACGAGGTAATGCTAAAGGGCACGTCTCCACTCTTTATTTAGATATGCGACCTAATGCCCTAAAATTTGTAGAAAACAACCTTTTACTCAAGTGTTATTGTTGCCAATAAAGGGTTAAAGACTAATTATAATTCATCAATATTATATTTATTATTTGTATTAGTAACATTCGGGCTCTTTAAATACTGTTTCAGAAGTCCTAGTCTGCCACACGAGGATGTGCAAGAGTACAGACAAAAATTGGATAATAAAATGGAAGAGAGATTCAATAGCATTCACAAGCAGAGCAATGACAATAACATACATTTACAAGAAATGAAGAAGGTAGAACATTTTTTATTTAAAAATTTATTCATTGAGTAAAATTTGAAGAAATACACTAGTTGTGTATCATAATTTTGTAGCAAACAATCAATATTGAATGGCACATCATTTATTGAACGATGTCATATATCATTATTATATTTGTGACGTTAGACGGGTAACTATAACAATGGCATACTCCCGTACCTCTGTCATCATTTAGAAAATCCCCCCCCCCCCCAATAAAAAAAATAGTGAATAAAAATAAATCAACATAATTACCCAATTCAACCGCATAGGGGCACTTTTACTAACGGTGTCGATTTTAACATGAATGTCCTAATATTTTTCAGCAAATGGATAAACTGGGAATTAATCAAGAAGCGAGTCAAGTTATGACCAAGTTTCAAGAAGCGTTTTCTCAGGTAAGTGTTATGCTTAATGCTGCAAATAAAAATATAATGATCAACTCACAAGCGCAGGGACATCTCTAAATCCTCAAATTAATAGGTTTAACGAGGATATATAACATTCATCACACATTTTTTAGTATGGAGACGAATACTGCATGGACATTGAAAGTCTTCGAAAGACCGAGTACGAAAAATGCTTGAAAGAGTATGATACAGAAATAGCGAAATATGATGATTATGCTACAGTGAAAAATACTCGTGAAAAATTGTCTACAAACATGGAACAGTACTTTACAGAAAATGTAAAGCGTGTGAATGAAAACAACAAGGTATTGAAAATTAGGAAATTCATTTTGGTTTTTACAGATACATTTCATGGGTCATACGGTATGCATAAATAATTCCCTCAAGTTTTAACATTCTTTTTTCAACAAAACAATACCCCAACGGTTATTATAGCTAAAATCATTACGGAGTAATTCATAATTTTGTTTAAAGAGTTTGCAAATTTCATACTTCACTTGACGATGTTGATAATGTCACGGCTGACACCACTATAATGCTTTAAAATACAACGAATGCAATCATATTCAATAAAAATAGGCGCGACATTTCGGAAATGTGCCAGTGTACGCTGTTACAACGTAATTGATTTACGTTCTGCTCTTGTTTACAATTTTAACACTCCACCGACCATGCATGGTTGAGTAAGATGTTCACATTTTCGAAATATCGAAACATTACTTGTTCAAGGCTGGAAGGACCTTTGCAGAGCTAATAGAAAGTACATTGAAGGGAGCATGGTTTGTCATTTCTTATCCGGTTACAACTCAATAAGTGTTTTTCACACTCATGTAACTAATACCAGCTTTTGAAAAAACTTTGTCTGGTCATTTTGAAATCGGTGCTATTTATATAACTCTAATTTTCTGATGACATAAAATCGCCTTTTCCAATGTATGATCGATCAAAACGTCATTTTAAATCCCAATTTAATAAATTTAATGTTCCGGTCATGCATATCACCGGGCATAGGAGGTTTGTAATCTAGTAAATTTAATTAAAATACCTCATCTGGTTTTACGCTTCTTAACTTACGGAATGTTCGGTACGTTTTTGCAAAATAGGGAATGAAACGATACGTTATACGTAAAATAAAATAAAAAAACTCCATAACGCAAAGACAACGAGTTCTCATATGTGTCTGTTTTGGTCTGTCAGCGAACGCTAGGTGAATTCTTGCAATTCACTACTGATTTAAAGACGCGCGAGTTCGTGTCCAAGAAAAGCGGCGCAGGTCATGTAGTACCGGATATTCGAATATTTTAATATTCGATTTGCTATCCGTTATTCGAGTTTTTATTCGGTATTCGAGTATTTTTCCCAGCCCTAGTAGTAATGCAGATATTATCGACAATAGGGTGATAAACATAAAGTAAAATTGAGCCAAAATTAATTGTTACATGCCCGGATGCAATTTCAATCCTCTCGTTGTATTCATATTTTTGTTGTTGACAGATCGAAGTCCGATATAACCGGTTTATTAGAAGTAAAATTTAATAATGACCTATTTAATTTTTTTCAGAGAGATTTAGGATTGAAATATGAACAACACGTTGAAAATGCAGTGAATGAATATGATCAACTGATGAGACAGGTAATTTAAACAAAGATCATGACCAGTTATGATAGTTTAATTTCGGAAAAAGTCAAAGACAGAACTGTAGTCGTATTATTCAACATAATATCTGCCTTATACTGTAAATTTAAAATCTCACTGTCGCGCTTTTTACCCCCACTAGCTGTCCTGTTCATTTCAGTAATTGCTTACAATGTATTTGTTCCAGATGCGAGGACCTAGATATTGAGAGAAAGATTTAATTGGCCACGAAGCGTACTTTTCTAGACCCCAAAAATGTTGAGTTTGGTTCTCTTAATAGAATCCGAATCTTGATATTGGCAAAATAATAATTCAATAGATGAAATTGTATTGAGTAAAAAATTTCGATAGTGTTTGTTTGTAGTTGTTATTATCTTTGTTCGTTATTCAATTCATTTGATAAAAAACTTTTCCAAGTAAGTGTCAACACATTTTTTTAATAAATGATTTTTATTTGAATTTTTCCATAAACTATTACATATGATTTTATTTCAGATCACTGCAGATGATCAATGGGAGAAAAATAATGATTTCATTCAGAAACATGACGAATACAGAGAAAAAGCTGCAAAAGACTTCAATGAATTAATTGCGAATATGTGAGATTAAATGGGTGTAGACGACGTATGCTATTTTCTACAGAATGCAAGGATATTTGGGGCATAAAAATGAAAAAAATTGAAGAATGTTTTTATTAAGTCATTCCGATAAAGTTACCACTGCCAGAAAATGATATTCCGAGATATTTCAGTTGTTTAATTTGTGATGTTATATTATGAACTCTACAAAACCGAGTTTACTCATTCAATTCTGTATTGTCACTTTAAAATTAGTTTTTCATCGTCAACCAATAAGCTCAAAAAGATCACTTATAGATTTATAAAATCGTATGCTAAAGTTCTATCCAGCGTATTCAACGATAGGATGCTATAGGACACGTCTCCACTCGTAATTTAGATATGCGATCTAATGCCTAGAAAACAACCTTGAACTCGAGGGTTATTGTTGCCAATAGAGGGTTCAAAAACTAATTATAATCAATCAATAATATATTTATTATTAGTATTAGTAACATTCGGGCTCTTTAAATACTGTTTCAGAAATCCAAGTCTTCCATCTGAGGATGTGCAAGAGTACAGACAAAAATTAGACGATAAAATTAAAAAGAGATTCAACAGCATTTACAAGCAGAGCAATGACCATAACATACATTTGCAAGAAATGAGGGAGGTAGGAAATTTACAATTTCAAAAATTCATTCATTGAGTGAAATCTGATACACTAAGAATACACTAGTTGCACATCAAAATTTTGTAGCAAACAACCATGGCACATCATTCATTGAACGATGTCATACATCTAGCTCATTTTTTATCATCCAATATCATTATATTGTTGCGTGTTGTTTCGTCTCCTTTTTTTCTCCTCCACTATGGGTGTAGTTATCTATTTAAAGGCGTTTGGGATTTCTTCGTGTTGTGGATGAATCCTTATCTTTATTTATTACTTTTTTCGCAAGAAGGTATATATTTGACCAATCAAGAACTGGTTCGTTTCGTTTTTGATAAGATAAATTTTGGTTGAGCAAGATTAATATTATTTCCGGTTTATACCATCGGCGCAGTAATTAAGGTCAAATGTATTGTACATATATTGTAAAATAAATTGGAACGGCATAGATTTCGCCAGGAATATCAATGATCTCTTTGTCTCGAGAATATTAGAACATATTTTTATGCAGATAGAAAAAATACTTCCTCCAAGGATTAAAATTCACATTCAACAATTAGTTCAGTATATATTCGATAATTTTGCAAAGTAACAATTGAAATTTTGTTACAAACAATGGCATACTCCCGTACTTCTGTCATCGTATATTTTTTCGATAAGGATTTTCAAAAACAAACAAAAATAGTAAATAAAATTTATTTATTAATTTGCAGACAATGAAATCTGGTCAATTTGTTCAGGAAGCATCAGATATTTATGAAACGGAAATGAACAAGGTAATCCATATTAATACGCAAGTATAAATTCAGTCATTTAACTTCTTGGCTGTTTACTGTTAACTTTTTAACAAAGCTGCCCTCCTCTTGAGTCATTGAGTTTCAACATGTGTTTAATCGAAGACATTTGAAAAATTAGAGGATAATTTCTAAAAATATTTATTGGTAATTGTTTTTTTTTTTAGAGAAATGAAAAAACAATGATAATAATGAATCTGTAGTATTTTATTGTTACATGGGAACAATAAAGTGTAAAAAAAAAACAGCAATTATTTTTACAATACCTTTTTAGAGCTATATTGTTTTGCCATGTTTTCTTGTGCAAGGTTCGTTTGCTGAAATAAAATGCAACAACAAGTAAAAGTTATGAATCACACTGTTTCATTCATTATAAAATATTTTAGCTTTTAATCAATGGTGCAAGCTGCGATAATCTACAAGCAGAAAACTCAAAATTTCAAAAGATGGCTGAAGACAAATTCAAGGAGCTTTGTTCAAGCATGTGAGTGGTGAATGATATATTTTTATACGACTCTTATCCTCGCTTATGCTTCGAACAAGGCAGTGGTTTCCAACTTATTTGCACTCGTGGCCCCCGTTCGCCATTCCAAAAAATACACGTGTTGAATTGTACTACAGACAAAAAGAGTTGAAGCTTTTTAAAAATATAATCATTGGAAATCTTGCACTTGGGACCATCTGACGACGTTTCTTATATTAGGCACCACCTTTGATATAGCCTGACAAATTTCTCTGTCAACATCAAGACGGTTTCTGGATCTAGTTTCCTCTAAATCTAACTCGCTTGACAACCAAGAAACTGATGTCAATGCCTTCTACCTGCTGGGGGTGATGTTTGTCGCGGTGGTTTTGGAGTTTAGATGGACGTAATGATTCATTGCTCGTTACATACGAGCAATGCAAGCAATTCTCTCTCATCTCGATTTACTCTTTTAAAGTCAACATAACCGTCGTTTCATTTTCGTATTTTGGGCATTAGGACTTTAAATTTGGATTTTTGCGTCTATAATACGATTCTGAAGATTGTCTCGCAGTCTAGCGAAACCGTCCATCTGCAGGTTAGACGGCCTACCCGTGAACTATTTTGATTGGTAAATTGGACGTTAAATTCCTTTATGATCAAACAATTCAGAAACAGAATACACCCTGTGATCACAAATAACCTATTCAGGTAATAAAACTGCGGTGGACGCCTGAACGGGACTAGCCTTGTGCCGAAGCCATCCTTGAACTGCTTCGTGGCCCCCTTGAGAGGCCACCGGTCTCTGGTTGAGAACCACCGCTCTATAGTCTATTACAGCCACTTTTGGCAAACAATATGGAAAAATATCGGTTGGTGATATTGAAGCTACAACCAGTGTTCGACGAGAGGCGGTAGTTGCGTCACGATTATATATAAACGAGTAGATTTTGTAAAGTTTCATTCCTTAGTACGGGACACTGTATATGTTAATGGTAGTACCTAGATGCGCAATGCTAGAACTAGGGCGCCATGGAAAATATTTAAAAGGAATTAAGGGCTCTAAATCACAAATTTGGAGTTTTGGTGATTCCATACAATGGCTTGGAACAATGTCCGGAATTGCGTCACTTCTCAAAAGAGAAAACTTGCTTGCGAAGAATAATTGATCTTCTGCGCAAAATTTTTGAAACTCTAATTGCACTCACTTTTGTCTTCTTATTTAATTTGTGGAAAAAATTATCTCAAAAATGATAAACCCACTCCTGATAGTAATTTTGTCTCAAAACAATGCCGTGGTTTAAAGGTTTGCTACTGATAATAATTCATCCAATTTAGAATAACTTTCAAGACCATGAAATATAAACGTATTAAAAAAATCAAAAAGTTGAGTAGCGTTACGACGTGCTTTGAGGGGTTGGTGTAGCTAAAACAAGTGTACTTATTGTTTTTGACACCCGCAAGACTCAACAACGGATTTGGGCGACGTATCAAAACGGGGACATCGAAATTTGTGATTACTCGTCGCCAAGACGCCGTCGGGGAAATTTATATCACACTTATCAAACACGCAATATGACGGCAACTCCACCATCAATTATGCAATAACTACTCTGATTTTGATTGTCATTTTCAATATCCAATTACTCACCAAACATTAGGCCACTTTTACTCGTAGATTTTTAGAGACGTATGCTTACGTTCTTTACCGCGAAATGATGCTGCGGTGTAATCTCGTTGAATATCGCTCTCATTTGTGATGCAATACCAGGTAATTAGTGAATAGAATATTTGTTTGTCAGTAAACGCAGACCCAAAGAAGGATTAAGTTCTGGTTTTGAATAATTATTTTCGAGAATACAAACGTATTCTTGTGTGAATTCCCAACAAAGCGATACCCTACAGCTACAACCGCTGCTGAGTAATTCCAAATTGTATTTAGGGAAATATTTGCCATGCTTGGCGCGTTGGGTGACTTACAATTTGGTATTATTAATGCACAATAGACATCAAAATGCAATGTGTATAATTATAATACGAGTATAATAGGCCACAATAAGTAGCAACAAAGCAGCTTGTGGGTCTATTCGTCAGCGACACTGCTATGAAGTTATCAAATATTTATTTCAGTTTTTAAAAAGGGATTGATGATTTGATTATTCGATAATTATTTTATTCAATGGTCGATGAATGCTTAAATTTTAACAAGCTGTTTATTCAAGTTTGCTATTATTGTTTTTACTCGTATAATATCGTATATTGGACAGATTGCTTCACTTCCTTCGTCGTCGATGCGCGTTGACATGGATAGCCATCGTTATTGATAATATTATATAGGCGTTCCATATCAACGAACAAGACAAGGCATGAATGAAACCCTCGTAAACATATTGAATTGGCCCTCATTCGGGTGTATATAAAAAATATAAAATTTGGGTATAATACGTTTGAATTCCTTATGGTTATGCTTTATATGTAAATTGATACCGTATTAATATCAACGATTAATTTTTTGTTTATTATTTGATAACGTCTACGAAACACAATGGGAACACAATGTGTTAAAATTAAATGACTAAAGACAATAATGTATTGAATATTCAACAGAACGAGCCACTTATATGCATATGTTCAAATCGAGAGCCTCCTAAAACAAATAGTCATGTCATGCTTTTCTCAAATCGGTCGTATTTATAAAACGATGAATTCTAACGTTTAGCTGAGAGTTTTTCTCGAAGCCCACTCGTGTGACTTTCTCGCTCATTCAAACGGCAGATATCAATCCAGTGTTGCTAGTGTGGTGAAATAAGTCGTTTAAAAGCAGTTAAGTGCGCATTGAAAAAGATTAACCGCTGTTCAAAAGTTTTTATAAATCACTGCAAGATTTTCTTTTCGGTAACCAAGCGGTTGCCTGATGACTATAAACTGCAAAACAACACATTTCACCAGGACCGCCTTAAAAGCTTCGCGGACCGGCATAAATGCCTTTTTGAGCTTCACCGGTCTGCGGACCACAACGGTTAGGAACCACATGAGAGAGCCAAATGACACAGATAAAAAAATCGGAGATTTTATCAAAAATATCCTCAAGCTTGCAAGCTTTATTAAGACTTTTCCGGTTGGCCAGGTTGATCACTGCTTAATGGTATTTATACTAAAATTTACTCAATTTCAGTGTTGTTTAATATTTTTTGTGTGTGTTTTGTGCAGAAATTGTGACACTGCAAAAGATCTCGAAAAACTAGTATCATTGATGGATAATAGATTTGAAATATTCAAGACAATAAATAAAAACAACGAGGATGCAGATTTCGAAAAAAAGGTAAATATAGATTGTCTTTGTCTTGCTTAATCGCTGCAAACAATAATCAATATCGAGGCATAGCGTGCTTTTAGAAATTCAAAAGCAAAAGAAAACATGCGTTCGTCTAAGTGTATGTATAACGTTGGCATTTGGTTAATAATGCACATAAAACGAGATATTACCTTAATTTAAATTCACAGAAATTACTTACCGGTATGTCACTCGCCAAAAAATACGAAAAGGTATATTTTTTACTCATTGTTCAGTCAATTTCTTTATAACTTGTAGATATTCCTATTTGTTCAATGTTTAAAAAAATCTTGTGAAATTGGCTAATTTTCCTCCTGCGTTATCAACTGTTGTTGTTGTTGTTGTTGTTGTTAAATCTCTGATAGGATATTACATGTTTTTAGAAACGCAGGGAAACAAAGAAAGTAGTAAAAGATTATTGCGACAGCATGGAAATGGTAAGTATGTTCATTGGAGTTAATTAAACATTAAATTGATTAATCTTATAAAAAAATTATTAATGAAAAATCAGTTTTTGTTAATATTATTGCATAAACCATTTTCTGACATTTGTTATGTTTTAATATTTCAGTTTTACTGATATGAACAAATAATATTTAAGTCATTGTCATTATTAAAGATGTGTAACTGTTTTTCTACAGCATATATCTCAATACTCTTCTCCTCCGAGCGACACAAATCTCATGGAAAAGCACACAGCGCTCAAAGAGAATGCTTTTATAAGCTTTGAAAGAGCTTTAGGCAGCGACAAGTATGCTTTAAATATCTTAATAAGCTGCAGCACAGGTTTGCCCAAAAAATTTAAACATTTGGAAAATTGCAATTGTGGGCAGCGATCGATCAGTTTAGGGAGTCATTTAGTAAGAAAATAAATTATTTATAATTCAACGTGTCTACCTCATTTTTTATCATTTTAAACATATCCTGAATTATTTCTTTTGCTACTTTTACCAAAAACTTTATTTCCACAATCCTAATTTTCCTGATAAGATATTCATGCTTCAATCGACGATAGAAACTAACATTTTCTCTTCTTCCAATATTAGATATATCACATTTGCATAATACTTGGGTAGTATACAATTAAATTTTTCCATTAGCAGTGGCCAATTACTAGATAACTCCAGTATGCTTCTAATTATTTGTAACAGTATCACCAAGGATAATAAAGAGGAATTTGGACAAGAAATAGAGGATAGGTTTTCAGTATTCAAGAGTAAGAACAAGACTGAACAAGCTAGAGTAAAACTCGAGAAACAAGAGCATGTGTGTGAATATTTATTTTACTTTTGACAAACTAATGATGGGATAAAAGAAATTAAACAACTAACTTATATAAAATAAAAATAGATGGTAGATGTGGCTTCTATTTGTATTTTTTATAATTCTTTTTTATTTTTATATTTAAATTAGGAGACGAACAAATCTCAAGTTAAAACAGCGAGAAGCGAAGCATACAATCTTTTTGTGAACAAAATGCGAAATGTAAGTAGGACAAGTCTCACTGAAAATTCTATATCTTATTTAAAAAAATACATTGATTTGTTTATTCTGTAGAAAAATGAAAGAAAGAATCAAATATTTTATATTTTTACCACTTATAATCATTTCTGACTTGAATGGGCCAGTTAAGTTTCACTAATTATCTAATTGGCAAAAATTGGCAAAAAATCATAACACTTCGAACACATTAAGTAATAATTGAAATTCCAAAAAAATCGTACTACTTTAATTAAACAATGTTATAGCGAACGTTTTTAAACAATGACGTCTAATCGTATGCTTTCTTTCGTAATTTTGATACATACCGCCTTAAGCAATATGGTAACTAACATACCGTGTTTTATTTGTAATACCATATTTATATTTCAGCATACTCAAAGATATGATTCTACAATTCAAAACTTGTGTAATCAGCAAAAAATAACAGCAATGGAAATGTTTGATCGAAAGACAAACCTATTGAAGTCGAAAATGTCAGCAATTGTGCAGCAAGAACGAAACAATCTGAGCAACGAGATTGAAGATAATATCAAAATTGTGAATGAAGAAAATAAAGTACGTCGTAATTTTCTGGTACTGGTAGTACTTGTATTTGCTTTGGGACTTAGAAATGTGTTTGAGGTATTTAATTTTTGTTTTGGTTAAATGTTGGTCATTTTTAAAGATGTTGCAAACTGTATGTATGTTATTTTTATTTAATTGGAATATTAATAATTTAATAGTTGTTGGCCTTGTTTAAGCACTGTTTATTTAACAATTCTATAACGTAGAGTAATAAAACATATTAACAGAAGTTTGACTTTTCTTGTACAGTTTTTATGCTAGTTTAAAAGTGAAATATAAACATATATCAGGAAATACAGACAATAGCATTCAGGAATTAAAAAGAAAAAGTGGGGCTAATTCATGTACATTCACAAATACTCTCGATATCTGGAATATATATTTGAATTAAAGAGCACCAAAAAGAACTACGTTATTTCAGATTTGAAGATAAAATACTTATGTACATTAGCAAGCAAAACAAATTATGTTTATTTTGTCTTCGTCATGTTTACAACAGTGGCTTAACATAAATGTAAAAAAGATCTAATAATAGACCGTGCAACATAGTTATATATTGTCAGCAAAAATTCGATATACTCTTAAACATTAATATATAATCCATTCATACTTTGCGAATATAGCACAATCGTTTGTGATCAGCGTTTGCACTAATGCTTTTTGAATTAGCTTTGCTGCTTGTTTGATACCAATTGGTTACATGTTCATTTAATTTTCATTCACTCGGTAATTAGTAATTTAATTTTCCACCATACTAAAGTTCACTTTATGAATAAACAATATAAAAGAATAAAAGAAAATGGTACTTTAGGGTGAAGGGGGGCGTATTAGATAAATCAAACGTATTTATCCAAAGAAGTATTTGTAACTGGATATCCAGAACACGCCCGATCAATCATGAAAGAAAACTTGCTGATATAAATTGATGTCCTATCGGATTTTTGATTGCTTGCTATATCATAGAATAGCTGTGGCTGCAAGAGTTCTCGCACAAATTAAAATTCGGTCGCGTGCGATGTAATTCAAATCTATAATATTAAAACACGACGGTACAGGCAGACAACAATACAAGGCTGAAGGAAGATATTGATATTTTGGATTGCGAATGTCTGTGGCTGCATTTTTTTATTTCAAATTATTATTTCAACTGTTGGTTTTTAGAATTTTGAGGTTCAGATACTCAACTAAATCTTACTCGGGGTGAGCAAAATGTTCTTTTCATTCAATCATTTTTCACAAAACTAACGTAGTATCCGTCATTTCATATTGTATCACACCACACAATTTAATTTACGGCACTGGTCATACTTTCCGGGATGGTTTTAGAGTTTTGGAATATTTAGACTGTTGTGTGAAAGGTTTCTCAAGATGAAAGAAATGTTTTTCTCTCCGGTGAGCAATCAATCATCAATCAATTATCGGCGTAGAAAATTTAAAATGTTAGTCGGACTGCTGTAATTCTTGTGATTGTAATAAATTCAGCATTCGGTATAATCAGCGCGTGTATATTTATTAACATCTCATCAAATGTGACAAATATTGAATGATCTGTAAAGAACAATTAAAATTATTTTGTTAATACATTACTAGCCTTTTATTAATTTACATTGGTGTTACTGATTTTCATCGTTTATATTTTGGTTCAAATATTGAATGTTTATTTCATCTAAATCGTTAAGAATGAATATTGTAGTAACCGTTATTGATTTGCGGAAAAATACAATTGACAAAGCTGTTTATATTTAGTATTTAATTTCTGATAGAATTACCTTGGTGCGGGATACACTGGGCGAAAATGTACCTTCGTATTGATCGCACGGAGTGTAACCCAATACTGAAATGTCATTGTGACCATGATAAAATTGAAATGGTTCTATTTCGTTTCTCCCATAAGTTAATATACTCGAAACAGAATGCGGGTAGCGCGACATTATCCAAGTATCTTACCTACACAATTTTTTAAAATCTTTCCTTAGCAAAACAGACTTAGATTATTTGACCGTGATTAATTTGGTGGCTGATATGATCTCCAAGTGGCGGCATGTATTTGTAAGCTGATATTTCCTAGGTAAACTGTGAAAAATTGATCAGTATATAAGACTTCGGCGATTAGATTTTTTTTCAACTATGCTAAATGCAATTCATCAAACAAAGATTGTTTGCACAAGGTTGATAAACGTACTGCTAAATGTGTGTCTGTATCTGCCTCAAATCATTTATTACAAACATCCATATTCTGGAATTCACTCAACAACTCTAAAAATAAGTTATATTGTAAATGCCACTCAACGACGATGAAATGATAAATGAAATAAATAAACGATAAATGAAATAAATAAACGATAAATGAAGCTCAACGGCCAAACTAAATAATCTTATTCGCGGGGTGGGAATTTAGGTGCACCATGCAGACATGAATACATATAGATTCATAAGAACGCAAGGAGATATGCAATATTTTTTTGAATAAATTGCACAAAAAAAATAATTTTAGTTGTAGGATTCTAAATCTGAAGATTTTACTAAAATATAATTTCATGACGGAGGGGCATTTTTCATTCACGTTTAAAGTTAAAAAGTTAAGTTCTTCTCTGTAGAAAATCTAAACTTTTAAATCTATATGGAAATGTATTCGAAATGTGAATGATGAATCAATTAAGACTCAAAAACTCTTGATTAATTTTTTATCTGTTTTTTATTTTATAGAAAGCAATTAAATGTTTTGTATTCAAATTTTATCTGTGCATCTGTTTTAACGACCTATATGTACACATGCATCGGCAATATCTCATCGTAATATATATATATATATCATTGGCGGCGCGTCAATAAGGCCAACCGGGGCATTGCCCCGGTTGTTTTTTCGGTATAATAAAAAATATTCGAAAAATACCTCAATATCGGTTGCATAGACTGTCTACACTAGCCATATTCTCCCGACATGGTTCTTTTTTCGCTCGCAAAGCCTTCGCCGAACGTCGACGGGGCGACGCCGATTTTGCCCCGGTTGCTCATTGTATATCGTATTCTCTCTTTTATATTCCACTCGCCGCGTTTGTCTCGTTTGTTTTCTGTTTTCTTTACTAAATCATCGGGGCCGATCGGGGCTAGCCCCGAAATTATGATGACACAATGCCGACGTTTCTTACAACAACGTGTTGACATATTCACGCATTCCTTCTCGTACGTTGGTTGCTTGAAGAGTTGATAGTTTCCTCGCCTTCGTTTTTGTCGCTTGTTTCGCTATTTGAATCAGTAAGAGACCTTTAGTCCATTTGTTTTCGATTTTCCACATTCCTTTTGAGCTCCTCACTTCTTTCCGGCTTCGCATTTCTTAGCCTTAGACCTCATAATGAATAAGGTTGATGCACTACTTCGCACTACTTATGCACGTTTTCGCAGCTGCCGCTGGAACAAAAATTAGAGGTACAACGTCTTGGGCCTTATCAACCGAAAAATTGTTCACTGGAACAATCCCATGACGGAGGAAAGCGTCGGCGTACATTCTGCTCAGAAACTTGGTATAAAAAACACGAATGGTTGTGTTACAGCGAGGACAAAAATGCACTTTTTTGTTTTTATTGCCTACTTTTTGCGACCGCCCGTGACTCACGTTGGGTTAAATTTGGTTTTAGAGATCTTAAACATCTTTCCGAGCGTGCCAGGGATCATCAATCTTCTATGGAGCATCTGGACAATGCAGTAAAATACCGAACATTCGAAAATGTTAATATTGCAGCACAGTTGGATGAAGGACGCGCGGTTTCTATTCGTCGGCACAACCAAAACGTCGAGAAAAACCGCCATGTTCTCGGTCGATTGATAGATGTTTTGAAGTTCATTGGTTGTCACGAGCTGTCCCTCCGTGGGCACGATGAACGGGCTGGCTCTTACAATAGAGGGGTATTTTTGGATATGGTGGAATACACCGCATCCCTAGATACAGTTTTGAGAGATCATCTTGATGCCGCAACTGTTTCGAAAGGGACATCTAAGGATATCCAAAATGATTTGCTCGACTCAATGTATAAAATTTATTTACAACATTTGGCTCTGGAGAATTGCCAGTTCCTTTCGATTCAGTCTGACAAGACAACTGACATCACGTGCGTTTCCCAACTGGCGGTGTTTTTTCGGTTTGTGAAAGATGGTAAACGTACCGAGAGATTTCACAGCTTTGTACCAATCGTTGATCGCACGGCTTGCGGGATATCGCTGTACTGAAAGAAATGTTACAGCCTTACAACGCAAAGTCAAAATTGATAGCTCAAACTTATGACGGCGCGGCAGTCATGAGTGGGTCGAAACATGGTGTTCAAGTTTATATAAAAGAAGATTTTCCTCATGCGCATTTTTTACATTGTTATGCACACCAATTTAACCTCTTTATTAAAAATATGTGTCTTGATACCCCTCTCGTCCGTATATTTTTTGCAAATGTTTCGGGGTTTTCTTCATTTTTCCCCTTTCGCCGAAGCGCTCTGACCTCCTTCGCCAGATATGTAGCCGCCGTCTCCCAGCTTGTGCACCAACACGTTGGAACTTCCAATCACGCGTGGTGCAGGGCGTGTCCAAAATTAGGTCTGAGCTCCTTGAGTGTTTCAATGGCATTCAGAGCTCTCCGGTTTGGGACGAACGCTCTGTGAGGGAGGCGGCAGGTCTAAAGCGTCTGCTAGAAGATGGTGAGTTTTCATTTTTTCTCGCTTTTTTCTCCACAATATTCTATCACGTGGATGTATTATACGGCGCATTGCAGTCAAGGCTAATGGATGGAGCGTCTGTGCAGTCGTGTATTTCAGACTTCTGCGATGCTGTATCTCGTATCCGGGAAACAATAAAATATGACGACACATGGAGTGCTTCTTTACGCCGCGGGCAAACAACGCAGCGTTTGATTTTGTCTGCAAAGGAATGCTGTGACATTCTGGTAAATCAAATAGGCGATCGTCTGCGCACTGAACACCTTGCCGCGTTCTCTTTGATGAACCCCAAAAATTTTTCAAAATTTGCACGTCAATTTCCCATCCATTTGTTGGCTACTGTCTCCAAATTTTACCCCATGATAAACGTGGGTAAATTGGAAAATGAATTGCGATGTATATACACCAATCAAACTTTTTTGAAACACATCAACTTGCGCGCTCTATGAGTTTCTCTTAGATAACACTCTAGTAACTACCTTTGCGGCGTCTGCAAAATTTCTGGACATCATTTTGACGACGCCTATTTCCTCCGCCGACGCAGAGCGAACATTCAGCACGCTGAAGCGTATTAAAACGTATCTCAGAAACACAATGAAGCAAGATAGATTAAATTCCTTGGCTGTTTTATCCATTCAGTGATACTTTATTTCTGGGATGCATGACTTTAATCAGCGCGTTATTGAGCATTTTGCTTCCAAGAAACCGCGGCGTGTTGCATATATGTTCAAGCAGTAGAAGTCTAGCAGCATATATATCTATGAGTGAGCGACGCATGTCCTTATCTTTGCATTAACTTTCCTTTCTTCATAGTAACGTTTTAAACCTTATTTTAGGTTTTGTCTGCTTTCCCGAAGTTTCTGTTAATATGTCATTGTATTTATCTGGTAAATATTGCCTTTCCTTTTGAAAGAGGTCTCATATTAAACTATGTCTATATTTATTAATCCCTTGACTTGGACCGGTTTTAAAGACACTTTCTTATCGTTAAAAATTGTTGCTTTTGCCGATTGGTTGTTACCGATGGAATGGTTTTAATACTCATAAAATGATGGGAGAACTTACAGCGCTCATCCTGTCCCCGTAGATGGGGGTGACTTGGTCCCGCAGTAGCTTGCCCCGGTTGCCAAAATGACCACGCGCCGCCACTGATATATATATATATATATATATGTATCTGGTTGTTTGTTGTTACAACTATAAACCGTAAGTTGATTTACTTCATTAATTTAATTTTAATTAATTATTTTAATTTTAATTTATTAATTAATTTTAATTAATTTTTGTTTGAAAACTGATAATAAATGTGAAATCATTCAACAACTATACAACTATAAACCGTAAGTTGATATACTTCATTAATTTAATTTTAATTAATTATTTAAATTTTAATTTATTAATTAATTTTAATTAATTTTTGTTTGAAAACTGATAATAAATGTGAAATCATATGGTTTGGCATGGTTGGCAGAAAGTGAACAAATGAAAACGCTTGGAGACAAATTGGATTGAAGTCTCCAACAAATAACAAATATTCATTCAACTTTCTATTAGTTATTGAACAGGATAAAACATCATTATGTTCCGTAAATGGTGAGTTGACTAAGTTCACATAAAGTTGTGCAAGGTTACCGATATTGCTGCCGGCTCTGCCCCCCAGCGCTCCAAGTTCGTCTGATACTACTTTGTGGCAGGCCGTAAGTCATCCAGAAATATTGCTGTATTAATATTGCTGTAATTAATACTATATATTGGTTATACAATGTTTGTTGAATTAAGAATGGCCTCGAAATAAAGTCAACAATTGCGGCAAATAGTTAATCGTTGAATAACGACTTAACTATTATAATTTCAGATTGTTAGCTTTGTTCATCAGGATCGTTTGTTATGTTCGAAACGCATAACACATTTCTTCTTTCACTTGCCATCTTGCGCAGTTTACTCAAGGCGTGAAAAATACGTCACAATATTATCAAGATATAATATAACTAATGTACGAAATGGTTCTAGTATGTGAAACAAGATGGCGGACACCGGAACGTAATACGTGTACCAGGTTAGGGTTAGGCCATGATTTCACTTCGATTTACCTTATTTCAGTTATATTACGAGTTCGGGGACTAGCCAAGTGACTCCCGTAGTATTTGTACCAGAAATTATGGCCTAACCCTAACCTGGTACACATACTACGTTCCGGTGCTCGCCATGTTGATTCACATACTACGCGGGAGCACCTACAAAATATCACTAAATACTACATACCAATGCAATTCTATTAAACTTGCTTGTTAACTAACTAACACTCGATCTAGGAGTTTTCTTTATATTTGTACACCGCTTCAGTACCAATTGATATCTCATTATATACTCTGGCATGGATTTTTGAGCGTTATGACTGAGTGAAAGTCACGATAGCAGAAAAATCTCACTACACTACACAGATAGGCATATTCGCACGAATAGTCTATTTTAATTGACATGAGAAGATAATTTGGAATTATTAAATCTAATCGGGAAAAATTCAATTTGTGATTTTCAAAACTAAATAAAATATTCCATATTCTGTTTATCTATAAACGGCCAATATTTGCTACAAAAGCAGACACGCAATGTGAAAGCTGTGAATAACTATAAATGTTTATTCAACGGAACAACGTTTTACTTTCCTGGTTTAGGTTAAATGTTGCCATAGCCAATTTGTGTTCTTGCTCAATTAAGCGCCCTTCCAATGATTATATACATAAGAATGCAAAAAGAATTGAAACTTTTGTAAAAAACAAAAATGTGAGATTTGAGAAAAAGACCTCAGCACGTTTAAAATGGAAAATTAGTAATTATCAATTAGGGTTCGGGTTAGGGATGACTGGATAATTAGAATTTTTTTTTATTACGAGTTGCGCCGGGGTGTCTTTTTTTCTGCAACAGATCCAAATATGTTTTACACTAAAATAGTATGCTGTTGGTAATTAAAAACTTAGAAACTTCCGTTTTATTTATTTTCAGTTTATTTTGAAACTTGCTAAAAAGTTAGTCATTCCTGTCGAGACAAATGTCAACGATTGAAGCTGTATTGACATGAAGGTTCATTAAATGATACGTGTATCTACTAGGCTAGATTAGCGTTTTCATTTTCATCTTGTTCTTTTGTTTCTTTATCCGCTCTGTCAATGGTGCCGTTATACCATGATTTTGCAAATAGAATCCATGGTAGAATCAGCCAGAATACTCTAGCACATGTCGCACCGAATGCGCCTCCAAATCTTGCACACAGAGAACCTATGTGAGGAATATCTTCCAATTTTTTGTCTTCGTTATAAACAGCGTAGATTATGGCTGTGGCAAGATCCATGAAGGCTGAAATTAAAATAGATTTTTCAAATATATCATATGAAATTACACTCATAAATTAGAAAAGAATGTCAATCAGAACCCTTTGCATTCGAATATTTTCGTCTAGTTTTTTGTTTCGAATAAATTTTTAGTGAGTATTTTTTTATAACGACAAGCATCAAGTTTGTGGGGAACATTTGGACTAGGAAATCTTTGTTTAGTACGTTTTTATTAAGATGGCCAACTGGGTTTAAAACGTTGTATAAATTGGAGAGATCCTAAACTCTAAATAACCAGCCACGATTATAGTCAATGATCGCCAAATATTAATCGTAAAATCATTTCAAAAACGTATGGTGTCTATATTAGTATCTCTAGTATCGCGCAGTCAAATTTTAAGTTAGGTCATTATACCGTTTTGGAAAAACTTATAAGATGAATCGAACTAAAAGTTATTTTAAAACCGATAATACATGAATAAAGGCTTGATAGAAATATCATACCGTAGAAAATAAGCATAGTAGAAAACAAGCACCTGCAATGGATTCCAATGTAACAATGGTCACAAAGTGCGGTCTCGAACTTTCAGAGCAACACTTTTTGATGGTGAAAAACCAATCAACGACGACAGAAAGGCTGCAAGAAATGAAACGAGGTGATGCAGAGACAATTAATAGACCAAATGCAACTTTTTCGTCGATTCCACGTTCTGAAATGAATGGAATGAATTATAAGCGGTACCAAAAAAATGGAGTGAGATGAAATACGTGTTTTTTATGAATTCATAAACTTTTGCATTGTAGAATTTATTAAGTGAGGTGTTACTCAAATTATACCAAGCGTTTGATATTATACATTGTTTGTTTTTTGCTATGCCATTGTCAAATATATTTTAGATGTTCACTGTTTCGTAATCTAATTCTATAACTACTCTTTCAGCCAGTCTGGGCAGTCTGAAGACCGATGACCGACAAACATCCTATTTATATTTATACTTACTAAATGATTTGCAATGCGTCTCTTGTTCAGTGTCATTGCATTGTACACAACTAATTGAGCTTGTGCAGTTGACTTCATTTCCAATACCGCATAACTGTGATAGCCCCTGAGATGCACTTTCGTTGTTGGCAACGAGCCATTTGTTTGATATAATGGTCACAATTGTCGATATCAAGCTGTAAATCGAATACCCCGCCAATAATACTGCACAAAGCTTGTCGAAGCCTCTTCTTTCATTACATTTGTTAACATTACATTCAGCTTCACAACAATCGTCGATTTTCATTTTTTGCAAAAAGACACTGAATATTGTACAAAAATAATAATCTGTAGAAAAAGAATCCCAAATATTTGGGGAAATAATTGAATCGACGAATTCATAACAATCGAAGATACGACAAGTACCCGAAAACACGATCCCATTACAAATTTATTAGGCATTGGTCGAAAATTTCTTTACCATTTTAGTAAAATTTCTGGCATTTTTTCTATTGCACTCATATTTCTCATAAAAATATATATTGGTTTTATTTAGCTAATGAAGGAGTATAACCCTGTTAATTCTGATTAAAATCCGAAAATATAAATGGACTTAAATATATAATCATTCACACCATTTTGAAATTGTTGTAGAAATTCGACAGCCATCTTGCAAATGCCCTAACCTTTCAATCGCCTGTGGTTTAAGCTCCCAGAGATCCCTTCGTGAAAAATATTTTGTTTTACTAAATATTCATTCCATTTCTTATGTAGATAGTTTAATTTCACTCAAACTGAGCAATATACTGCATTTATCAATAAAGCAATCTCAACTTCAACCGCTTGCTTAACTTATTACCTTGCGCTTGCAAAGTATTTGCCGACACGAATGTAAAACGAATTAACCTCAGATTGATTCCGGAAAAAACAATTTAAAAAGGCGGGATCGTTCAATTTTATTACGGTCAGGGAAGTATGGACCCTTCATAACGAGTATTCATAATCCTATACTTTAATTCATTTTGGCATTTCAGCTTGACATTGTTGTTCGTTCATTGTCATACAACGGAAACAATTTGGTTTTGGATCAATGCGCTACCCTCATCCTTTACGCATTGAAATCCATTTGAAGAGGATGGATTTCAATTGAGAGCATGTATTATTTGATTTAAATTAGAGCCCAAAAACATTTCAAATATTCAGATACTTTCAGTTATGTAGATTTATTTGTGACCAACATTACAATATTTGCATTCACTGGAACACTGTTACAATTCATGTGAGCAAGGAGGAAACTTTTATGTCGAGACTTTGGTTGCACTGTTCGCTGCTTTCGTGCGAATCAAATACAAAATATTTAAATGCATTCGGGAGTGAATTGAATTGCGAATTGAGAAAATATCACAAAATAGTAGTGATGCGTGTTTAGTGTGATAATTGTAGACAAGTTTAATTAGTTTGCTTTTTATCTTCATTTGAAACAACGCCTGAAATATTAATTATCTACATAAGACCATACAAAAGTATATGAATTGAAAATGACTTTTGAAAAATTTCAGTTTTCCTAGCTCACATATTTCAAAGGAAACTACCATGTCTATGGATCACACAAAAAGATAAATACAATTTTGTCGAAAATGAGCTTATTATTTATTACAACAACGATGTGTAGGGTCAGAGAATATTTATACCTTAAAAACAAACAAAATGTGGGAGTGTAAAATCATTTATTTTTCGCGCATTCCCCATTGCCGCTTTAGCATTTTTTGACAATTTTAAATGCTTTCTGCTGTGTATATGAACATTTGCCATTCTGTGATGGCTCGGACAACAAATCGCTATGAACGCTTGCCCAAACGTGTGGTAGATTACTAGTCAGTTCGAAAAAATAAAAATAATACCACTGATAAGTGTCAATAACTATCCAGAAAATCACGGAAAATTTTAAAGCCTCGACTCGCTTTCTAATGACTCCATTATTTTATGCATTACCTATGACCTATGAGCTGATTATAAATATAATATTGAATGTATATGTGAAGGCTGCATGTCTGATCTAACCGCATAGATAGACCATAAATGGGCTTGGAGAAATTCCGTCGCTCTAGAAGTATGTGTACCAATATGGAGGTAGCTAATTTTGTTCACCTATTTTACATAAAGTTGTGTTTAGGGATTGCAGCCTATGGGCCGGGGGTGTATTCACTTACCTAACGCAGACAGTCCTGAACTCGTAATTGAACTAAGCAAAAAAAAATCATAATTTAGGACCTAACCTGGTATACATACAACGGGAGTACCAAAATTCCCAGCAAAGAAAGTACACAAAGATTCATCAAATTTCAGTATTAAAATGTCACTGCTTTCTAATTTAGCAAATAGGAGTATTCAGGCTAACATAACCAGTCTTTTTAGGATAAATGAGAAGCTTTGCACCACTTTCATCGAATAACATCATTATCAGGCGAACTCTAAAACAAATGTTTTCACTGCTACATGTTGAATTATTCATTTATTCATGTTTTATTTCGGATCACATTGGTATCTCAACATACCTTTGTCGTTTCATGCATTTTGGGCAAAAAGGTTATGATCGTCATATAAATGTGTCTCAGTGTTCAATAAGCACAGTCAGTAGCGGGCAATTTTCGATTGTCTGTGAATTCTGGTTTTGTATTCGGTATTACTTATCGATCCCGATCGGTAGATATGTTGATAGGTATTTGTTTTTCTGTTAGACATTCGCGATATCTCACCAAAGCTAGGTTGCATGTGCTTTCATCATATCTCGGACCAGAAGTCTATTGATTTTGGATAAATTATTTGTATCATTAACGAGTTTTAATTAATTAGTGATGGGACACGCGGTGACGCTAGTGAGTCGAAGTGAAGGATACACGCCACAAGATCGATAGGTGGGCGGTTTCCGATCGCTATATTGTGTGAAGGTCTGTCTAAAACAATGCTCGTCATCGAGGTGTAGCCCAACCTTTTCGGTGTGTACACGGGTGTATAGGGATACTTAATGTGATGCGAATAAATCCTACCAGTATGCCAGTCACAACCACATGTCTCAATGTTTAACAAACACAATTAGTTTTTAGTGGGCAAATTTCGATCGTGGGCGGATTTTATTTCGCATTCGTTATTTGAAGGTCTGTCTCGAACGGTGCTCGGCAACTGAGTGTACAGCACACCCCAGGGTGTACCAAAACTATAAATGGTGTACCATATTAATAGGATGTACAGAGTTTATTGGTATCTCCTTGTCATAACACCTTTCAGTTCGATTCATTCTTAACATGTCTTTGTCGTTTATTGCATTTTTCACAGAAGATTAATGTGGCGTGATTCAAACCCATCCGTAAATTATTATAATAATATAAATGTGTCTCATTAGTTTTTAGAGGGCAAATTTCGATCGTGGACGGATTTGGTTTTGCATGCGTTATTTGAAGGTCGGTCTAGAATGTCTAATAAACGCATATCTTTTTAAGTAACCATAATCATGTTTCCGTTTTATTTGAAATTCGAATTGTATTTGGTAGAAAAGAATACGAAAAATCATTGCCTGAAGTAGGCTGTAACCTTTAGAGACAGTTATCATTACATTACAATTTGTTGATTCTGTGGAGAATGTGAGAAACTGAGAAGCGATTAAAGTAATGAAAATAATAATACTTCGTGGCAAAAAATAATATAACAGAATCAAAAATTACCTAATTACTTTTACGAAACTGAAAAAAAAAATTTAACATCTTCACAGTTGAACTTCTATTTGTGTATTATTGTACCGACAAATTTCAGTAATATAGGATGGTCTGCTCAAAAGTTACGGTATCTCCAGAATATGTTTAAAATACTTGTTTGTTATTCTGGGTACCATCCTGTACTTTTTATTTTAATTTTAATTACTGTGCAAATATGAGAAAAGGTTTTCGGTACATTAGCTTTTTTCCATCGCATGAGCTTTAAACTTGCTTGGGTCTTGATAAGGTTTCATAGCACACTGTAATTGCATAGAAATATAAGTGAGACGACAATGGAATCGAAATTGTATCGGATCTTACTTTAAAGTCGACAAAATTATATTTTGTTACGTTTTTGAATACCAATGCAACAGAAGATGTATCTAGTCGATTGCCACTACACATAACGTAAATTTAATTGAGCAGATTCAGAAGGAAATAGCAGTTGACACTTACCAAAATGCATCATGAATTTTGTGCCCCGCCCACACACGCTACGTCACACACGCTACGTCACTCACAACACGAATCTTGAGCCCCACGCTTCTTACGTCATGCTGATGTTGACTGTAGTTTCGTCCGGCAATGATGGTTATTTGCGTATTGAACGTCTTATGGCGAGGCGCTCTTATAGATCAGTGTCGATAACAGTGAGGTATTAAAATTCTCCCAAAGGCAGGTCATATGATACTGGATTAGATCACTCATGTGCTTTCTCAAGTCATTTGCACTAGTTCAACACTAGCATTTGGAGCTAATCAAATTTTTTGTTTGTCCACAACTCTCTGTAAACTGCTGTGTTTTAGGGGCGTTTTCAGGACAGATCCCAATTTATTTTCTAATATTTATGTCATTTACGTAAGAGTTTAATGTATATATAATACTAAAAAATCCGCATCTTTTATCGCATTGCGGAAGTTCCTCTACATCGGCATGTTCACCAGTGTTCAGATTCAGATTCAGATATTTATTTTCGTCATGCAAAAATAATGCGCGATATGAAAAATGAATAAATATTATAATGTAACAAAATCAATTGGCAGGTAGGAAACGTGCGTCATCAGGTTATTAAAATGTATCCCTCGTTGTGATCGCAAAAGAGGTGTTAACTTAACCCAATATTTAATATGCATTGTGTTGCATTATTATTCTATGTGCGTTTGTATTTAATAATATGGTATTCGTTTTGAGTCATTTTCTTCGATTTCATTCAATTTGATATCAAATCAATTTCACAGAGTCCATTCACTGGATAGGTTTTTATAGTCAATATTAATTTAAAAGGGTGATATTATTACACCAAATAGGATACACGGTTTATTTAAACCCGTTATAGGGCTACGTCATTTCAATGAGTCAATTATTTCATAATAAATTCTTGCGTATGTCGAAATAATACTACGTATTGACCTAGAATGCATAGTCAATCTCGAAGCGTCAGTCATTTTGCTTGATGAGCAAGCCAGTATGAAAAGAGGTTTTCAGAATGAAGTTGAGGTTTTGGCATGAGAAACGATAAAATTTTGTTGTCTTCGTATTTCAATCTCATAAAGTTACAATCCTATTTAAATT